CCAATTCAGGTAGAAGCCAAATTCTCCTGTGATTTAGAATGCGGGATGCTTTAGATTAATGAACATCTTCCATTTTAATTTTCTGCAAAACTAAAAACATTAAAAAAAATTGAGAGCAGCATTGACCTATTGATTAATCTTGCATTTATTATCTGGTTCAGCCTTTCGTTTACAACATAATAAAGTGTGGAATGAGAAAAGAAAAGGCCGTTCACTTCATCAAGCCTATTCGTTAAGATTATCATTAATAATCGATTCCTGGGCGAAATGTTGTGCCAGTTTCCTTACTCTACAGGTCTCAGTTCACCTAGCAGTAAGTAGGAACCCGGTTGTTAGTTGATTGGTGGATCCCTTTTCCAGAAGTGATAACCCCTTAAAAATAATAATGATAATTTGGTCACTCAATCCACGACTGTTTGTGGGACACTGCTGTGCGCAATTGGCACTCATGTTTCGCCCAGAAAATATACAGTCAATTCACTTTACAGTATATTTTGTGAAGCGCTTTGAGACGTCTTGAAGACGTGATTAGGCTCTATATCAATTGCAAGGATTATTATTATCATCAATTTTAACTTAGGGTAGCTGGGAACATGTTAATACACACAGCTGTTTTTCCTTTGTTTATTCTGTAAGGCACCATTCTGGCTCTATGCTTTAGAGTCTTCACATTTAATGAAACATTATAAAACTGCCGTCTGGAGACCTCCAGAAGACGTCTCTAGGAAGCTTGAGTTTGGGCAGTTGGGTAATCATTTTTATTCTGCTTATTTTCCAAATGGAAATAGACATGTATGATAAAAATGTCATCCACACTCTACACATTGGCTTCTGTAACAGAATTAGATGTCAGTTCTTAATGTCTAGCTCTGTTTTTCTTTTCTATGAACGGATGCATTATTGCTCACAGGAACTTGACTGTAATATATGGTAAGAGACAAGTAGCTCTTTATGGCCAGTGATTATTCGGTTTGAATGAAACCTGTGATTTATGGCCATTTAACAGAAAAGTCTTGTAAATTCCCAGTGTTGCATTTTTCCTGCATGCAGAACAAGACAAGTGAAAGTGACAACTGGGTTAGTCTGGAAAGTGGAATGCGTAGAGCTTCAGAATGTGTTATACTTAATAAAGCTGACATGAGAAACGTGCACATACAGTACCACACGGATGCTTTATGCAAGAGTGAAAGTGACATTCGCTCTCAGATTCACACAGTATATGTTCAGCTAACAGTGCTGTCAATGCCCTTCTATTCCATCAATGCTTCTGACAGGAACACAATACCAGAGCCTACCAAAACTAAATTTCAAAGCTATTACCGGTCAGATCTGCTTATATATATGTTGTCATTTAAAACTCTCAAACTTCTTTAAAAATGTCCCTTTTTATTCAAATTTAATAATTTGTCATCTAGGATCAGATCTGCCGCTGTAATCTTTTGTACTGCAATAATCCTGCAACTGAGTTTAAGTCAAAATTTGAACAATTTCAGTGAGGTCAAAGAAAAACTAATCTCGATTCCAGCATCTTCTTTCCTTCTGCTCCTATCCTCTTGCTTGAGAAACAATGTGAAAGGTGCAAATATGGCTTCTTTGCCTCTTTGTTTGTGATGAAATTGCTGAATGTTCTACCATTTAAATATACTTGCTCTCTTGTAGCTTTCTTTCTTTCCCTGACTGTCCAGGGTCTTGGGACATCCTCCACATGTGAAAGGCACTATACAAATGTAATTTGTTGTTGTTATTTTCCGAATACATGAATCTCATATGTGGATCCCTGATCAACATATCACTTGTGGTGTTCATTGGATATTATATATAATATTATATATTATAACCTCAACTTCAGTGCTCTGATACTGGTGTCCAACGTACTCTTGGTGTATAGGCATATCTTGATGGGGGGAGTGGAAGGGGAGGAAATGTTTCTGAGCTGGTCCTATTGCTCTTCCAGATTTGCTCTATAGGAGTCTCCTAATATTGTATTTCTGGTTCCCAAATGGGCAGGAGCCAACCAAATGTATGTCATTAAGAATCTGATACATTTTGTGATATATTTCCTGTGAAGCGCTTTGAGATGTCTCAACGACATGATAAGGCACTATATGAAATGCAAGTATTGCTATTATTTTGACCGGTAAAGCAGAATTATTTGCAAGTGGAAAATTAAGCTAACAACCCATTACTTGAGGAAAGGGGCGTTAAGTCTTTAAATATGCTGCAAATTCTCATTCCCCAGCTGTAATTTACCGCTAAATCTCCCTATGCACGGGAGCAGATTTTTCCATGGGTAATTGCTGTGCATTTGTGGAATTCTGTCAGGTTTGAATATTTTTAAGCATTTCAATGGGTTTCCATGTGTGTCAGACATCCGGCTGACCAATGTTTAAAAAAAATCTTCTGCGTCACTGCCCTGGTGTGTACAGTGTTTGAACTGAAGGTCTGCAGCTCAGTACAGAACGGTAGCTTGTAATTTTCTTCTTATTTAACAATCAAAAGCTTTGCATCTATTAATGGATTGTTAATGAGTTGTTGAAAATCTCTGAATTACAGTAATAGTATTAAAAGTGAATGTTCTTGTAATCGTACCGTTTGAAAGGGCTTTGGGTAATTTTCACATCTGCTGTTTTGTATTGTAAAGGGCACAAGTTTTGTTGGAGAATGCTTTGTAATATTTTTGACCTGTAATTTATTTATTGGCCTTTGAATGCAGTGTTCTATGCAGATGCACATTCCCATTATCCAAGAGGGCAGGTGCACTGCATATTGAAAGACTGCTAATTAGGATTTGCTGAGAGATGAGCAAAACCCAGTGTGTCATCAGAAAAGCCAGAGCGCAGTTAACCAACGTTTTACTGTTTGCACGGCTTTTGGCTGGTGTACAGCATATTAAAACGGAACTTACAATTTTGAACATTAACAATAGGTTAGTAGTAATTGCATGTTTTTTTTCTACACCAAGATAGAAGGATTAGGTAATGCCACCTGGATTTAGGTACATTTGTGAAAGTAGCACTAATGTGCTACATGCATATATAGAAGAGCAATTCAAACTCAGCACCCATGTGTCTGGATGTCTTATTCACAGGTATTTTTTATACCTGGGTTTCACTGTTGGGGTTTAAATCTAAGTAACACTATGTGTTCTGCTTTCAGCCTTATGTTTTCTGTTGCCTAAGTGTTTATGATCTGACCTCAATAGCTCTGGTATTTGAAACCTTGTGTATTTTTCTTAGTTTTTCTGATATTTTATGGCCAGTAGGATTGCCTGGCTGTAGGAATGTGTTGTTATGTAGTATAACTTACTGTGAGTATGTATAAATTATCATATTATCAACCTCAAAAAGGATGGAGGGCTGAGTCGATTCACAGGGATGGGGACAAGTATCCTCCAATGAAACTCGTGCCTTTTATAGGAACGTAGGAACAGGAGTAGGCGATTCAGCCCCTCGAGCCTGGTCTGCCACTTCCATAAGATCATGGGTGATCTATAGTACAACCAGCAGATGTGAAAAACACCCCAAACCCATTCTGATTGTACAATTACAGTCCAATGCTTAACCAGCTGAGCCACCTCAGGATGTTGAGTATGGGTGGTGAATACCTGCAATCAGTATCTGTAATTAATAATCCTTGTTATATGATGGATTATATCTTGTACTGGCTGTACCCATTGCAGTTTCGCTTGCAACCAAAGGATCCAATATGGAATGTAGATTGATACACTGATACACAGACAGATAGACAGACAGACATTTTGTCTTCATCTATACTCAGTTGGGAGGACTCCTGTGGGAAGACTCCTTTTGGGAGGACTCAGTGACTGTCTACAGTGGTTTAAAACATGGACATTTGTGGGATTGTATTGTACTGAACATGTCTTTTAATACTGTATAATAAGTGAGGAGATGGAAAAAGGGGAATGCTGCATTGTTTAATGGTTTCATGTTATTTCTAAAGATTTAGAGTAATAAAATGTCCTAATACATTTGGTGTAAACTTTGTTAATCTCTAGTCGGTTATTGATTCTTTGCAGTAATGAATAATATTCCATCTGAGTACTGCTGTGTATTCAGATCTCCACTGTTTCTGAATATGGAGTTGACATCTATTAGTCTTCTGGAGAACAAACTCATACAAGGGAATTATTTAAATATAAAATCTTTAAACATTTAGTTAAACATTATTATTTTTGTATTTGGCACGGTCTTCAGTACATTAGATCCTACAGACTTACGTTTCCTCACTGCTGTGCTTTGGCACACAGTTTCATTAGGCGTAGGTTTTATTCTAATCCATTCCAATAGCCTTTCTGGTTAGTTTAGCTTTGACAAAATGGTAACGTTCGTGTGCAGCTGAACCTTTGGCAGGTTGTAGATGTTACTGTCATATAAGCTTTACTCGGCACAAATTGTGCACCTCGGTATGTAAATAAAATAAGCAAAGGCAGGGGAGATAGAGTCTGAACACAGACATGTTGCCATCTGTAAAATGCCAAACTGGGTGCCCATAGGGGGATGTATGTAATAGGATAGTGAATACCTGTTTCAAAAGAGATTTTTAAATTGGTTAATTGCATTATTTTGTTGATGTGGCCACATTTAGTGGAGTCCTGTAGCTCAGTGGTTCGAGCACTTGCCTTGCAAGCGAGAGGACCTGGGTTTGATTCCCAGGCAGGGTGAAATGTTGCAAGTTTCCTTACTCCACAGGCCTCTGTTTACCTAGCAGTAAGTAGGAACCCAATTGTTAGTTGAATGGTTTTCCAGGGATAAAAATCCGTTCAAAAACAATATTAATAATTTGGTCACTCGAACCACGACTGTTTGCGGGACACTGCTGTGCATATTTGGCTCCCCGTGTTTCGCTCGCAAAATACACAGTCAATTGAATTTACAGTATATTCTGTGAAGTGCTTTGAGGCGACTGGAAGACGTGATAAGGCGCTATATCAAATGCAAGAATTATTATTATAGTGTAACATGCATGGTTTCTTTTTGAAGGTCTCAGTATCCGAGGTGCTCAGGAGGAGGAGCCCCCAGACCCCCAGCTGATGAGGCTGGACAACATGTTGCTGGCAGAAGGTGTCTCTGGACCAGAAAAGGGCGGAGGAGCAGCGGCGGCAGCAGCAGCGGCAGCGGCGTCTGGGGGATCAGGATCAGATAACACTGCAGAACACTCCGACTACAGAGCCAAACTATCTCAGATCAGACAGATCTACCACACGGAGCTGGAGAAGTATGAGCAGGTAGGCATAGTCATTAAGTGGTGGCCCCACTGAAACGTCTACTCTGGAATAATTTTACCAGTGTTGAGTTAAAAAAAATGATAATTTGGTCAGTCAATCCACAACTGCTGTGCGCAATTGGCTGCCGTATTTTGCCCATAAAATATACAGTCAATTCACTTTACAGTATTGACTGTGAAGCGCTTGAGACGTCTCGAAGCCATGATAAAATGCTATATCAAATACAAGGATTATTATTATTAACTTTAGTTTATTCCTTTCCCGGCAAAATTTCACATCCGAGATCAGATCAATTCCAAAAGCAGTGATAACTTGTGCTGCACTGTGTAATCATTGCAACCTTATGATCAGTCGATCAGATTGAAGCAGTGTCTCCACTACATGCTGCTGTTATGCCATTTTTGGAGGGAATCTCCAATTGTTGGTGCATGTATGGGCTATTTTCCCCATCATAACCTCATTCTACCATAAACGCACCGGTGATCACATAGTCTCCTCTTTTAAATGACAGCCTTCCCCAGATTTCTGCCTACCACGTACTGTGTTGTGTGGTGCCACAGCATCCAGGAAGGCTCAGAACATGGTAGCTGATCTCAATCAGGGTTTGATGTCAGAGCCAAAGGCTAGGCAAGGAAAGGAACCAACATGGTTTCTGCCACCTCAGTACTCCTGCAAGTCAAAAAGTGTTTGGATGCCAGCAGATTGGACTGGTGTCTATAATAGTTTAGTAGTCAGACGGTCACTGCCTAGGCTCGTACATGAAGAATGGGCAATTACTAAAGAACTGGAGGGCTACCTTTACCCCTGGATCCATATTCAACGTGAGCTATTGTCTTCACATGAGAAGAGTAAAGGAGAATAATTGAAGGGGAGAAAATGAAATAAGCCACAATTTGCAAACAAAAATAATTAACTTTCCAAAGAGCCAACACAGGCACGATGGGTCGAATTCCTTCTGTGCTATAATATTCTATGATTCTATAAATGTTGGTTAGCTCTGCTGCCATATTCAGATACAGGCATACTTACTTGTAAATGCAATAAATTTACTGTACGTGAGAAGATTTAGAATATAATATAGACAATACTGCTCCCAAATGTTCCAAATTTATGTGAATTGAGCATTTTGGGTAAAATTATATCTTCAGATTGTGAGAGGTATATGTTCCCCATGGGCTGCAGTGACAAGTGTGTAACCCATAGAACCTTCATTTCGAATTCCTCCTAATCTTAGCCTGTAGACTTAGACATTGTGTCTTAAAAATTTAGGATCTGGGTTTGATTCCTGGGCAGGGCAACACGTTGGGCAAGTTTCTTTACTCCACACGCCTTTGTTTACCTAGCAGTAAGTGGAATCCTGGCTGTTAGTCAATTAGTGGATCGCTTTTCTGGGGGTAATAATCCCTTCAAAAACAAAATAATTTTTTAAAAATTGGTCACTCAATCCACAACTGTTTGTGGGAAACTGCTGTGCCAATTGGCTGCTGTGTTTCGCCCAGAATGTACAGTCAATTTACTTTACCGTATATTCTGTAACATCACTTTGAGATGCCTCGAAGACGTGATAAGTCAAATGCAAGGATTATTACAACAACAACCAAATTACATTTGTATAGCGCCTTTCCCATCAAGGCGCTGAACAGTCAGTTTCGACCCAAGCTGGGGGTTGGGATTGGGGAGGGTGGAGGGCAGTGGGGGAAGCAGGGTGATTGAAAGCACGGTCGAAGAAGAGGTTCTTGAAATGGGTCTTGAAGGAGAAAGGGAGGGGGGTAGGCGGAGGGACTGTGGGAAGAAGTTGCAGAGGGTGGGGGCAGAGTGGCAGAAGGTCCACCCGCCAATGGTGAGGCGGGCGAGGCGGGGGACATGAAGCAGAAGCAGTGATGCTGGAGCCTGCTGAGCAGAGGGAGCGGGCAGGATGGTAGGGGGTTAGGAGGTCGCAGAGATAGTGAGGAGGAAGACCAAGGAGGCCTTTGAAGGTGAGAACCAGGATCTTAAACTGTATCCTCTGTGTGGTGGGAAGCCAGTGGAGTCAGGCGAGGATGGGGGTGATAGGGTCACGGAGCCTGATGCGGGAGAGGATATGGGCTGCAGAGTTCTGGATGATCTGCAGCCTATGGAGGGAGAAGTTGCGGAGGCCGACAAGCGAGGAGTTTGCATAGTCAAGCCTCGATGTAATGAATACATGTATAAGGGTTTCGGCGGCCTGCAATATGAGACAGTGGCGGAGCCGGGAGATGTTGCGGAAGCAGGTCATGGCATGGATGTGGGGTAGACTGTCAAACAAGACACCAAAGATCTGGACTGGCTTAGTAAGGTGGAGTGCGCATCTATGGATGGTGATGCTGTCAGTGCCTGAGGTGTGGAGGCACTGATGGGAGCCAGTCAGGAGAGCCTCGGTCTTGTTGACATTCAACTGAAGAAAGTTAGCTCTCATCTAGGACTTGGATGTCTAACAGACATTCTGCCAGGACAGCAGTGGTCCTAGAGTCAGGGGTGGAGGCAGAGAGGTACAGTTGGGTGTTATCCGCATACATGTGGAAGTTGACCCCATGTCTGCGGATGATTCACCAAGAGGGAGCATATCGATATTGAAGAGGAGAGGACCAAGGACAGAGCCCTAAGGAATGCCGCACATGATGGTCCGGGGGCTAGAAGAGAAGCCGTTTGTGGAGATGAAGTGCAGGCGGTGTGAGAGGTACGATCTGAACCAATCAAGAACAGCGCCGTGAAGGTTGAGGTGAGAGGAGAGGCGGTGGATGAGGATAGAGTGGTCAAAGGTGTCGAAGCAGCAGAGAGGTCAAAGAGGACGAGGAGGCAGAGGGAGCCCTGGTCACAGATGGACAGAATGTCATTTGTCACTTTAACCAGGGCTGTTTCTGTGCTGAAGGCGCACAGAAACCTGATTGGAGGAGTTTGTGAAGGGAGTGGCGGGAGAGGAAGAAGCAAACCTGGGAAGCAACAACTCGTTCCAGGACCTTGGAGAGGAAAGGGAGGTTGGAGATGGGGTGGTAGTTTGAGAGCAGTGATGGGTCCAGGGAGGATTTTTTAAGGATAGGAGTGATGACGGCCGTTTTTAATGGGGTGAGAACAGTACCAGTGGACACAAAGAGGTTTATGATGTCTCTGAGTAGAGGGGCAAGGAGGTGGAGCTGGTTGGTAAGAAGAGGGTTAGGGATGGGGTAGAGGGTAGGTGGTCGGTTTCATGCGGGTTATCGTGGTGGTGAGAGTGGGAGACAGGTTCGAAGGTGTGGAGGGAGGGATGGGTAGGGGCTGGAGCGGGAGGAGGAGATGGGGAGGGGGTAGTAGACGGAAGGGTAGAGACAGCTGAGCAGATCCCCTCAACTTTGGATTTGAGGAAGTCCAGCTTCGCCTCGCAGTTGGCATTGGAGGTATGGGCGAGGCTTTAGAGGGTGGGAGGAAGAGCCAGTTGGTGATGGAGAAGAGGAGCCTGGGGTTGTCCTTGGCCTCCAAGATTGTCTTGGAGTAGAACGACGATTTAGCGGAGGCGAAGGCGGAGCGTTAGGATTTGATAAGGTCCAGCTAGGTCTGCCGATGGATCGTTAAGTTTGATTTAAGCCAGGTGAGTTCAGCGGCATGCATCTGTGCTTTAAGGGAGCGGAGGTGGCTGGTGTACCATGGTGACTAATGTGAGTAGGAGATGGTTCGGGAAGTAAGGGGAGCAAGGGAATCATATTATTATTAAGTTTATAAAATTAGAGAAAAATCTTAAGTTCAGTCTCAATTTGGAAGCTGTTGCTTATTCAGTTCTTGAAAAGACCGGCTTCCAAATTAAGAATGAATTGAAGAATTTTCCACCTTTCTGGTAATCTTAAATTTTAAAACAAACTATGATTGGGTAGAACATTGGGCCTCTGGAATCTTAATTTTTATGGCTTCAGTTTGGTGAAAGCTATTACTCGCACGTAAAGATCTGACGAGTTCTAAAACTGGTGGAACACGCTCAGATTGACTAAATTTGATTGAGAATGGCTGAATTTGGCATCCTATTCCTGTTTTACAAAAACTAAGTAACTATCTTTTACTAAAATCAATCACCTGTGGTTAATCTTCACCAATACCAATCTGACTAAAAATTTGGAAGTTAGAGTCGAAGCAGAAAAATAAAGCAATTAAAATGAAAGCGAATAAAAAGATTTAAGTGAGCAGAACTAGAAAATAATTGAGAGAACCATGAGACAGTCTGGCCCCATCCAAAGAAGCCGCCGCTATCACCATTGTCCCCCTGCTTGTTCTATAACGTGAGTCTGGGTTACTGTTCTTTTTGCAACTGCTGTCAGCCGCTGGAAGGAAGAGTGGTTCCAGTGGGTTGAAATGGAACCAAGGAGTTCTGGAGATTCATATGAGTGACCGGCAGCCCTGTGGTGGGGACAAGCAGGCCACCTCTATCGCTTTGTTAAAAGTAAATCTTATTACATCGCCCATCAACCTGCATGGCTGTATAAACCTCACAAGCGCCACCTAAAATTAAATGTTACCTAGCAGCCATAGCCAGAGTGAAAATTCTACTGCTGTAGAAGTCAAAGGACACAGTGCACTCATTAATGTATTTTTTTATAAGGGCTAATTTTCCAATTTTTTAAAAAAAATCTCAAAGATACTTTCGTTAAATGAAATGTAATGGAAATATTGCTAACGTTGTTCTCAGTCTTGTGTAACTGTACAATATCTAGTTTGTTTTCCCCACAGTTAATTCACTTTACAGTATGTTCTATGAAGCGCTTGGAGACGTCTCGAAGACGTGATAAAGTGCTATATCAAATGCAAGGATTATTATTATTTCAGGGCAATATAACCAACAGGAAGCCATCAATACAAAATCAAAAAGTTTGTAGCATTTTAAATCAGTTACTATCTGCCTTTGTCACCATTTAAGTCCCTCCTTTTGGCTTAGATGTTAGTTTTCTGATGATGTTCAGGATAGTGCATAACTTACACACACACAAAAGGTTGCCCGTTTTAGATGTATGTATTTATAAACT